CTTTCCCTATTAAGTCTTGGACTAGAAACTACCAATTTCTGTAAGCTTTGTACTACTGTTCTTGTTGGCCCTTCCTGTTCACTGCAGCTTTCTGGCCTGTTACCTCTGAGCAGAGCAACAACAGCTGCCACAGTGGTAGGTTCTTCTAACGGCACTATTTAATAATCAGAGCTACTTTCCCAGGAGGTGGTTCCCATGGTGAAAAATTGAATCTGGAGAGGTTGGAATGTCTAACTAGAGTTAGCTGAAACTCAAGGGCAGCCTTTGGAGGGAGAAGACTGTACGAATTGTTCCCTAAGAACTAGAGACAGCATTTGATCTGTTTAATAACAGTGTGGGACTAAGGGTGTAGAAGCATCATGCTATGAAGCGACTGCACAAACTGGATGACTTATTTAAGGACACATCCCATAATTTTTTTGGACAGCAGAAGGAGGCAAAGTCACAATGAAACCACCTTACCCAGATATTCTCCCCACTGATCCTAAGGAGGGAGGGCTTTAAAGCTCAAGGCATCATTTCTTCCTGCCCTGGGATCACCACAAGCCCCTTGTCTCCAACACAACGAACAGGAACACACTCTCTGAGGGTAGAGATCACATCTGCAGCCAATTTCGGGGAAAACAAGTTGACAGGTGGGAACAGAGGCCTCCTCACCTACTTGGGAATGAACATATTGCCCAATGCCCCCAGGATGCAGCAAAGCAAATGGTGACAAAATTAAGCTGATCAATCACAAACACAAATAGTAACAGAATAAACTGCAAAATCCACACTCTTGGGGATGAAAAGCTCCAGGCCTAGTTGCTGGCATTCCTCCCCTCATTAACAGGATTCTTTCGCCATCTAGTGACAGCAATTCAGGTGGGTACCCCGATGGTGTGTAAAGCAATAGAACAAAGATTGAGCCCACTTTAATTCTGAAGTATCTGAGGAAGTGTGTGTGTGTCACTAGAACAAAGTGTTAAGTCCAGTGGCACCTTTAAGACCAACAAAGTTTAATTCTGGGTATAAGCTTTTGTGTGCATGCACACTTCATGCACACAAAAGCTTATACCCAGAATTAAACTTTGTTGGTCTTAAAGGTGCCACTGGACTTAACACTTTGTTCTAGTGACAGCAATGTGAGCAACTCCCAAATTCTTTCCAGGATCCAGTTCACCGGTTCACATCTTGGGCGGTTTCAACATGCACAGAAAATAAACAGTAAATCAAGCTCCTCCACCACAGGCCCCAATTCCTGATGTGGCAAATACAAAAACTGAGGGTCACAGTGTTAGGAAGACATACAAAAATATATATCACTGTGTACAATAAATATATGTTTATGGTAGAACAATGCTATGCTTTATTCTTTTAGGTTATTATGTTTGCCGCAAGGGTTCTGATGGGACCCTAGACAATGCTGCTATCTTAAGAGCTTTTGTGCTCACAAAGAAAAATTATTGCACCTTATGTCCTTTATATATACATCACGGTCCTTGAAAAAGATTAATTCAAAATGGGTAAATTACTAGAGTCCCGTGGGACTAGTGATAGTGATACTGACAAGGTGCTGTCTGAATGTAAACCTGCACTGGATGTATTATTTGGGTGAAACATGTTTTTCTCTATGTATTGTTTGGGTGAAATATATTTTTGATAATAGTTGATACCAATATTTAGACAACAGTATTGAAAAATATTTTTAAAAAAGAATAAAGCATAAAATTGTTCTACCATAAACATATATTTATTGTACACAGTGATATATATTTTTGTATGTCTGCCCAATTCCTGATGTAGCAAGCCTAAGCAAGTCATGATCTGTAACAACAAGCTGCATCGGGATAAAGCCTGCAAAGAAAGGCTCAGAGCACCAGTGAAGGAAGGAAAGCCCACTGAAGTGGTCATGTGTCTCTTTCAGCTCTCCCAGCAGCTCCCATTTTGAACTCCAAGGCCTGGTTAGCTGCCCCCCCGCAATGTTCCACATTCTCATCAGTGAGAGAACTTAGTGCAAGTCAAAAGTGTGTTCAAGAGGACATAAGAGACAAAAGAGAAAAGCCACCTGCACCAAATGAAACATGTACAATTATTCTCAAGGGGACTGATAAGTAATAAACTTTATTTCGCAAAGCAATATCCACATCTCACAAACACACAAATAAAATTAAAAGAGGAGAGAAATGTCATTACCAAAGTCAGTTACTGACCATCAGGCCCAGAGGCAAGTGGAATGCCGTCTTAACCATACATCTCCTGCACAGGAGTTATTTTGGGGGGGGAGGAGGAGAAATAAAGTTTGTGAATCTTCATATAATGCCAAAGAACAACTCAACAGGAATGGCAGATTTCTAACAAGAAAACACAAACAGAATCAAAACTGATTCAAGTAATAGTGAAAAATGAAAAAGAAAAAAAAGTTAAGATCAATATGATCCGAACAACCACTGTGATATTCCATTTGAACCACTCTGCTTGGATACATTTTCACTTCTATACAATATACTTTACACCAACACCTCTCTCTCCTACTGTCCCCCAATTCCCCCCTCCCTGTAATCATTTCTGAACCATCACTAGTTCTGGAACGGACCATAAAAGCAAAAGGTAAGAAGAATACAAGGGGGGATTTTTCCCCCAAAGCCCATACTTCCAGGCCAGGAGCATTAAAACTTCACTTTGTTAACATTTTTCTTCAAAGAGGATGCTTTTTATTTTTTTTAATCTCATTCCCAGACTTTTACCCAATATTAAAACCTGAAGGTCCCTATCTGGGAGACATTACAATATAACAAAAAAGTAAGCCAGTGAATGAATAAAGGAACTCTGATATGAAAGCCATCTACAAGCTTTGTTATTCTGTGCAAACACTAAAAGAAGCCATTTGCAAACTACTCAGGGAGGAAAAAGAAGCCGACTTGATGATGCCATCAGATAGGGAAAGCAGAAGAGTCATTAAGGCAACCAGCAATGTCTTCAACGCAATGCCAACAAGTGTGTCCAGGAGTTCCCTATGCGTGTCCAGGAGTTCCCTATGTTATGCTTATGTAGACACTGAAGAATGGATTCAAAAATATTGTGCAAACTAGAAAGCAGTAGGAAGAACAGAGAAAGGAAAGTTGCATATAATCAACACAACTCCAACAAGCAAACAGCTGAGGAGTCCAGATCTGAATGCAGAGACCCATGGAAGTCTGTCCAGATGCATTCCTCCGCAGTGCAAATTTGCCGCTATTCTCTTTTTGCAGAAAATGAATAAGTCAGAAAAGGTTGGATCAATGGGACTATTTGCCCTGACTGCATGAGCCTGGCTTCCTTCTTTTGTTAAAAGATCCCCAAATCCCAATGGAATTTCAGTTTTCACACAGTGTCCAAGACACCCAGATCAACCACAGGGCACAGAAGGCCCAAGACAACGCTACTTCAGGTAACAGGAGAGGCACTGCATGTTTGAACGGCTCACCCCTCCCAACCACACACTCGAACAAACGAAAAGTACCTGCATATTGAAAAATAGCATGTCAGAAACAAGGCTAATCTACCTCCTTGAAATGCATGAGCCTGTCCTACTTTTAAAAAAAAAATACTTCTCCCCCCTCTTTTTGAAGGGAAGCATCCAAAACTGTCCTCCTGGCCTGCTGTCTGAAATGGGACAGTTCCAGGAACTCCATCATTCTATCATTTGCCTGCATGCACAGATCAGCATTAAAAGCTGCACTGTGAGAATGCCCCAATTCAAGGTTCAGGATGAAACCAATAGAGAGAGGCAGCCTGGGCCAACTTTAACATTTTAGCACTTTCAACAGAAGTTTGGTTTTTCGTAATCTAAAATTACAAGCACATTGTCCTTTCTAGCTACAGCCAGTATTAAAAGAAGGTGGTGCTGGGTTTTTCACCCCTATAGGTCTAGGGATGTTGGTATCTTTTTGCAAGCAAGGTATGAATGGGAAAGAAAAAACCGTCTCTCACACACACCGAATCCATGTAGAGTTGCAGTACTGTAGCAAGGATGCAGACTGCCTCCGACACGCTGTACAGACCACTGGGAAAATAAGGTGCTTTTTTTTCCTTTCGAGACTCTTGCAAAAGGCATCTTAATTGTCCCAATGCAGCAAATAATAACAATAATAATAATTTAAAAAGACACCCTCTCTGGCTCTGACTTACACAGAGCCTCACCGTCACAAAACAGTCCGACACGGAACAGGGAAAATGGGTCCAAACAGTACCAGCTGCACTACAAATTGTGATTGCGTGCCCTGGCTTTAACCGGTTCCAAGTACACTTTATATAAATATCCATTACAGGCACTTAAAAACGTCTTTGGTTGGAATAACCCAACATCACAAGATACTGAAACCGTAAAGAACGAGGGCCCAGTTCTGGGTTCAGCATTTTTCAACGATTGCAGACTCAGTCACTTTTGGGAGGAAGATATTGATGGATCACGCTTCTGTAAAAGCGACCTGAAGAAATCAAAGCAAGAAGATGAGATGGTTAGTTCTGGTTTAAAAAACAAAACAAAAAAACCCCCTCCAGTTAAAGGAACTTCCATGCCTGCCCCATCAGTGTGTGGCTTAAGGCAGGAAGGTGCTCACAGTGAAATACTGGTTTCTAAGCAACAGTCAGGATGGTACAGTGTATAGTTTAACAGATGGGGAAAGCCTGGGTTCAAATACTGAAGCTCACTGCACATCCTGAGGGAATTCAGTAGCTCTTAGCCTGAGAGTGGTTGCCAGGATAAAACAGGATACCCTTTGCACCCTCCGAGATCCATGGAAGGAAAGGATACAGGCTAAGAAAAAAGTAAGACATCAGAGGCTGAAGTACATTCAAAGCAACCACAATGAGAGCCTGATACGGTTAACTGGAGGTCTGGCATGACATCCTTAACAGCTGCACACTGAGTAAGAAGATGAGAGGAGTCTTGAGCTTGCTTGTTCTTGCATGTGCCACTAACAACAAGAGTCCTCCCCACTGTCTACTTTGGAGTGAACTGAGGGTCACTTTTTGCTTCAGTTTGGCAACCAAACTGGAACCCCAGGGGTGGGGGGGGGGGATGTTTGAGCATCTACACAACCTCGTCCCCACTTCATCCACTTTCTGCATTCTCCCCTGCTTTGCTCCGTTCTTTCTCAAGTTTGTTTTGCTATGACATGTTCTGAAATGGCGGTCACAGCATGTTAGCAGAAGTGTGGCCGAGAAGGTGCACAGTTTTGAATCTTCACACATTATCAGCACTGTTTTGTTGCCCATCGTCCCTTGTACCCGTTTTCCTTCACTGAACCACTGGAGAGCTTTTTGACAGCTTTTTAAAAAAGACATTGGTATTTGCTATTGCTTTATAGCGATATACGACGTTTCTTTTTAAGCCAGCAATAAAACCTCTGGCAGGGGAGGGAAATGGCGAGTACACGGGGATGATGAAGGAAAGCACAGAGCAAACCCCGTGAGAACACTCTGCTGTTGATGCAAATGTCTCTACATTTGCAGCAGCCATGACTGCCTAAGTGTCACTGCGTCGAAGCCATTTGATACAAAAGCCCATGGATGTCTTTTTCAATCTTGTCAAGTGCCTGTGTTCAGTGCTGCTCACAGTCTTTTGAATGAGAAGGGGCTGAAAAATGGCAACATCCAAGTGACTCTATCCTTCCTCCCAAAAGTAGGACCAGGAACCATTTCCCACACCTACCTTTTCAGGGCAGAACTCTGAATTGCTTTGCCGGAGTTTGCTTGGTCTGCCTTTGATGACTGCGTAGCAGAACATGGTGATGACCATCACAAAGAGAAAGTAACTGGTGTGCATTAAATGCAGGTTAATTAGGGAACGGTCATCCTGTGTAGAAGAGACAACAATTTCCTGAGCCTGTAGGAAAAGCTCCAAGAAAACCTTACACGCAGCTGCCACCACGATGAGAGGAGAGACACCACACCCCAGAGGCAGAATTTCTCCGCACATCCCTCTCTGCTGCATCCCACAAACTTATACCAACAGGATTTGGACTCTGCTGAAACAGGCTCTGAATGGATTGTTTATAGTGGTGTTTCTGAACCTTATTAAGTGACAGACTGCAACAAAGACATTAAGAGATGATGATTCAAAGCAGCTAAAGCATAAGGAGATGACTTACATCTGGAACAATAACAGTCAGTTTAGGATTTAACGCATGATAGACTTTTCCAACAGCTCCTTTGTAACACCAGAAAGGGTTGTAGTCTTGGGCATATTTTGTGTTGGAGTCCCGTGCGGTGGTAAAGATCTTGTACCAAAAAGTGGCATTAATGTACGTTTCCGGAATGCAATGTGGTGGCTGACTGTGGAAAAAACATTAGGATGAGTAGCACACTGAAGCTTCCACTACTCCCCCACAACACACTAGATAACTACAAATCCACTGACGCACAGTACAAAAATGCAAAGCCAGACTGAATCATGGCAGAATCCTAATTAAGGTTCCAAAATGGATGCTCACAGCTCAAGACTATGTTCCTATATAACCCGTGAAGCTGTAAATCTCACTTGGTGGGCAAAAAGGCACACATTCCCACCCACCACCCACCACCGTCAATAAACAGACATTTGCCTCCAGTGTTTTCCAAACTTTTAAAAATCTTTCCACGAACTCCATCCACACCTGCTTCACCAGTACTAACAACCAGTTAGCTAGGCACAGGGTCACATGCCTGCAAGCCCATGGCTGTGGACTGTGGAGGAGGACAAAAAGGACTGCAGATGTTTTAGCAAGACTGCGCTCTGCTTTTCCTCAACACTGGCCCTCCCACCCCATCCCCTTTTCTCGTCCAGCACTTACTCATTTGGGGAAGGTGGTGTGAGTGCGGGGATAAACTAAAAGCTGTATTTGCTACTTTCCGGTCTGTAAAGTGCAATTAAAAACAGTATTTAACAAAAACAGTCTGTAAAGTGCAATTAAAAACAGTATTTTTTTAAAAAACCACCACCAAACATCATAAATGGATAGCCTAGCTTTCTACTGCAATGTCTGTACCCCATGGGCACAAAAGCAATGGTGAGCAGCCAGCCTGACAGGGAGTAGAACGGAGAGACCCTTACACTGTGACAGGAAAGACAGTGCTGGCTGCTGTCACCGTCATGCAGGTTGTGAAGCTGACTTGCTCGCAGCGAGCGTGGAGAATACAGTCATCTGAGTTCCAGGCAGCAGGTAGGGTAAACGTGATGTTGATTTCCTCGTGAGCTTCTCTGCCTTCAAGTGGTAGAGGGAAAAAACATTTTACATCAGCTGGCTGGAACTGCACTTCCCTTTTAAAAGTAGAAACAGGTTATGTTTGGTAACTTCCACACAGTTGTCAAAGTGTTTTTGCTGTAGCAACTGCGCGTTTTAAAAGGAGAGAGAAGCATGTGAGAGAGTAGCATGAGCCTGCACAGCTTCCAACCTACCAAGCTGAATGTACACTTACAAAGTCAAGAATAGCAGCCCTTTGGTAGATCCTCTGTTCTTCAAACCTGCCATGAACCATGAAGAAAATTTGGCTCAGCGGGTCACAAGACTGGCAGGCCTGCTAAAGATGATGCAGCAGTATGGCCTAGAGGCTCATACCAAGACATTCTCCCATTTTAAACGTTCTACTTTAACATTTATGAAATCCAGGATCTGTGCATCATGTGCGTTTGGATTCTCCCCTCCCCCTGCTACCAAACAGAAAGACATATTTTTCTACAAGTACACCCTTGCAGTTCTCAAAATCCAGGACTAAGTGAGACGTGTATCTTTAACACAGATTGCTGACTAGCTCTGGCCACATTTATGCTCAAGGAACAATCCTCCCACAGACAGTAATACTTTGGAACACCAAATTTAGAAATGCAGCTTAGAATAAGATGTACCTGAGAGTCCAATTTGGTGTCCAAAAATGGTGGAACTCAAGTGTGTGACGTTTCGGGAAAAGCCACCAAAGGGTTTGAGGGGGTCCAGAGTCAAAGTGATGACAACTGAGGTGTTGACTGGACCAGAATCCTCAAGAGTTTGTGGTGATGGCGTGGAAGGCCTGGCTTGGCTACTGGTCATGGCACTTTCCGGAGTTGTGGTGTCATTAATTAGGTGCTTTAAAGTTTCATTCTCCGAAATACAGAAGTCCAAGTCGTTAAACCGCAGAAGGAAAGTATTCCAATCCTTAAAGACAAATAAGATCTTCAATGTGTCTCTCTGACAAGGTCTTGCTGTATCAGTGTGCATTCAAACACCACTGGGCAAGCACATCAGTTTACAATGACCTGGCTGGGTCCAAAAGTGATTTGCAATATGAGTCTAAGAGACCTACGGCCCATGGAGAAATCTTGCATGACTCAGGATAGAGCGTCTACAGTGGGGAGGACACTCAAGTCTTACAAACGTTTATGAGATGATTGAGATCTATTACAATTTGAAGACTAGAGAAGATCTCCAACATCCTTCCCCAATCCTTTGGCAAAGCCAATGAAATAAAATGTTGCAAAAGGTGGGCAATGATGTGGGGGTGCCTCAGTTATTGCTGTTTGAAAACTGAATGCCCAAGGCTCATTTGCTATGTTATGCAACTGCATAAAGGTGGAAGGAGAATACAGTCTTGGCCTGGAGACTGAACTCAAACGGCTATGTTGACTTTGGCTTCAGCATTTCAACAGGCAGTCTACAATTGTTGGACCCTTTTGGTCTAACCAGCCCAAACCAGTATCCAAAGAAGTTGCATAGCCAGCATGGCATAATGGCTAGTGTGTTGGACTAGGACCTGGGAGACCAGGTTTCAATCCCCACTCTGCCATGGAAACTTGCTGGGTGACCCTGGACCAGTCACATGGTCTCGGCTAAACCTACCTTGCAGGGTTGTGAGGATAAAATGGAGAAAGGGAGGATGCTGTAAACAACTTTGGGTTACCACTGTGGAGAAAACCGGGGTATAACTGAAGTAAGTGTTGTGTGCTCAACAGGGCCTCAGTTTGGGTCTCTTGAACAGAACGCTGCAGTGCCACAAGGCAAACTACTTTTTTATACTGATGGGATTTTCAAAACCAGTTGCTGACACAATACCAGAAAAGAGAGGCAAATGAGTCCTACTTGGGTCATTCTTTGGGTTTTAATCTCCCACCCATGAGATTACAACCCCTAGTCTGATAAACCAGAGAGCTTGCGCCAGTCATTTCGGTTCATGTTCATGCTAGATTCATTTAAGATCGCTGAGGACATCGTACCGTAAAGCAAGCGGGAAGTTACAGGATGCCCCACACTTGCCCCACCCTCAGCGAGAAATGTGCAAATGTGTACACCATCTCATACTTTACCTCTGCCATTTCAGGTGACTTGATCTCCTTGATCTTAAAGAAATAACCCAGGGTCAGGAAGGCGATTGCCATTGCGCTGACGCTGATCATAAACACCACAAGCGGAGGTCGACTGCTGATGTAAACCTTGAGGTTCTCCAGAGGATGGATGTTGAACATTATTCTGATTAGGCCCACCTGTGGGAAAGCAACACCGCAAACTAGAGACCCAACCACATTTCCTGAGGAGCACGTCCGGTCAGGCCAGCTGGTAACTGCTTGCAAGACCAAGAAAACTCATTTCTCTGCCTGCACACATGGAGCCATTCAGACACTGAGAAGGAGAGCAACCAGAACATGCCCATAAAGGATTCTATTTGCACACAGTTGCGGAAACATCAGAATAAACAAGGGAGGGGCAAGACTTACTTGGAAGACAGCAAAGGCCTTTTTACTGGCCGCTGTCCTGCAAGGATTGAGGCTAGAATACAACGGCCTGTACTCAGACACAGAACACTAACAGCCAGAACACCTCTGACAATACCGGAGGGCTACGTAAGGCAATCAAGACTCTGAATTGGGTCTAGCACAGGGAACATCTGCTGGGTGCCAGCGGTCATAGATGTTCTGTTCCTGTCATTAATCACTACATTTCACCTTTGGAGCTGGATGAAATCATGCTCCCTAATCCCTTCCCAGGTCAGTTGGCAAGATTCATATTTACTCTGTAAATTCGCTACGGTTCTTTTTATTGGGCATTAGGAACATCTGCCAACATTCTGTGGCTCTGGGAAGAACAAACCTATACCAGGGCCCTGGTGATGCATTCTTTTGATCTGCCCTTTCTGTCCTTCATGTTTTAAGACATGTTTAGTATGTGGGGGTAGTCAGTTTATACTGCTGGAACAGGAAAAGGGGATCTAGCGATCTGCAGATTTGCCTCCCTTTTAGAACTCTTCCCAACCTAGAGAACCCTGGTTCCCAGCAGGGATACTAAAACCTTGGAAACCAACAGGACTAATTTTTAAACTTACAGTAATCCATCTGCTGATTTAAATATAAGAGCCTCCCTGGAGTGATTTGATTTCGATCAAATTTGAACTGAATGCCAGGAACTGAGCAGCATTGGGGTTGTGAAATAGTCACTTTTACAGCTTTTCCTGCATAAGTTGCTCTGAATGTGACGGAGTCATAAGAACATAAAAGCAACCTAGCAGTGCTGCTCTCTCACATGACCCAAGACTAGGGAATGACAGGTTTTCCTTCCAAAAGTAACTACAAGTTCCATGAGTCTGTGAAAGAATGAAAATACACGAAATACTCTTGATCTGAAGAGTTTTTACAAGCTTCCTACTAAAAAAAACCCTGGGTCACGTGGTGCTAAAGGTCAAGAACGCAAGCTGTGCAGCCCCAAGACACTTCAATACAGCTTCACTGATGGAAAAGAGGGTGATTTTGCTCCCTTCCCCCTTTCCACTGCAGACCCTCTCCCAACCTGTATGGCTATTAAACCACATGGGCCCTGTGAGCTCTCAGAATCAAGTTTCTTCAGGTCAGAACAGACTTCTGGGAGAAAGAGAATGGAGTAAAGATCTGCATTCCTACCACTGGTGACAATTAATATTGAAGATGTAAAATTTTCAGAAATGTTGAAGCCACAGGAAAAACACAATGTTGGAGAAATTTTTGATAGCAATACTCACATTGCAACCCTATACACTTACTCCAGGCTAACCACAATGATTAAAATACACTTGGACAAAAGTAACTCTGCATACAGCTATGCTGCCACTTCCTTATCAAGCTTAAATTTATTATTATTGCTTTAACATAAAAAACAGAACTCAGCAATCAAAACTCTAGTATTTGGCATATTTATGAAATTTAAAACCATAAATGCCTTCATTTTCTCTAAGCAAAATTTCAAATATACCCAAATACTAGAGAGAAAACTGCAAAGGGCTGCAAGCTATTCAGCTTTACCATATATATCATAGTTTGGGCCATCTGAGATAGGAAAAAAATATGTTGAAAATAGTAGTAATAATAGTAAAGTAACTCTGAGCTGGAAGAGCTGGATTTTGAGACCTGAAGGCTCAAGCTAGCAAAAAATGTTTAAATGCAAGACAGACAAAGCCTGAGTAACAGGGATGCTCAAAATGGATTCTTAAAAGCAGCATGAGCAACCTGACATAAAAAGGAAAAAAGAAACTTCAGCCCCTGTGATTATTAAAATTTGATTTACAAAACTGCACTGTTTATTTTTACAAAAAACTAACAAGCAATAATCAATATATTCTAGGAATATATCTTACTTTATTCTAAAACCTCACTAAGACAAATATCCCCAAATAAATTTGCAGGGCTGCAGTGAAGGCAACTCTCTGCCTTCATTTTTCCTTTCCTGATATCAGAAAGAAAAAGCAAGTGTACTTCAAGCATTGAAATGTAAGACGACACAGACTCAAAGCCAAGTTCAGCTACCTGTAACACATACTCCACTGCTTCTCTCGAGAGTTCAGAGCATAACAGGGTGGCTCCCTTGCAACATGCAAGGTACAAGTTTGATTCCTGCAGGGTACAAATTTGATTCCAAGTTTTCTTTTCAAATGGCATGGGAATGGGAAATTAAACACTGGCAGGCAGTGTTCCCTCTACGCTGAGTGTGAGCTAGCTCACAGTTTTTTAGCCTCCGGCTCACACATTTTCATCTTAGCTCAGGAAGGATAGCTCTGCAGCAAACTAATGTATGCAGTACCCAAATTGCTCACTCACAACTTTAATGCCAGGAGCTCACAAAGTAGAGGGAGCATTGCTGGCAGGTCTTCACCCAAAATAAACAATTAGATGAAGATCCAGTGAAGCAGGAGAGACCAGTTCAAGAGCTCCATCCCTGAACCACAGAAGTAAATGTAACAAAGCCAACCCTGAAGCACATCCTGGTGTACAAGAGGCTGCTCTGATTTTTGCCTGTCTTTTTAGAGCTTTTCCTTCTCAGAATAAATTGCTGCACCTGGCTCTTCCTGGTGCAATGCTCAGGTGAGCATGTATTTCCAAAAGAAACTTGCCAGCCAGGCCTCTTTGCACAACCACTTTCAAGTGGGCAGGCCCTGGATGTTTGAAAGGCACCAACACAGGCAAAAGCATTCCCCAGGGCCATCTGGATCGGCATGATTCTGTAGAAAGCAGAGCCTGACCAACCAATTTACAAGTATCAATAAGTATGCGAGTAAAAGTACTCTAATTCCATTAAGTTTTTGACAAGGCTCTCACCAAAGGCTCTTGAGTAAACTCAGCAGAAAGGGGATAAAAGGATAGCTCATCTTATGGGTTACTGATTAAACAGCAGGAAACACAGGATCACATACATACAGTTCTCATGAAGAAAGTAAGCAACTGATTCCCCAAGGGGTCTGCACTGAGACCAGTGCTATGTAACTAGCTCATCAATTATCTGGAAACTCACTGAGCAATTAACTGGCAAAGTCTGATGCCATATTATTCAAAAAGGTGAAAATCCAAGGGAGCTACAAAAAAAGTTAAAAAGAGTAAATGGGAAGGCAACAACATTACTAATGAAGTTTAATGTACGTGTACAGCTATGAATGCTTTGGGACATAAAAATTCTAAGCTCACATTCACATTTATGGGGTCTGATCTGGTGTTAGTTGATGAGAAAAAAGATCTTGGGAGTGCAGTGAACAGGTCAATAAAAATGTCAGCTCAATGTGTGGCAGCAGTGAAAAAAGGCAATTTTTCATTCTAGGGATTATTGGGAAGGGGGCCATAAACTGAAAGATCAGTATCATAATGCCCTTGCATAGATCTATGGTGCAACTGCATTTGTAAAACTCTGGTCACTAGAGCTTTAAAAAAAAGAAAAGAAAAAGTCACATAGAACTGGAAAAGGAGTAGGAAAAGGTGACAAAAAGGGGGTAGGAGCAGCTTCCCAAGGAGGTAAGGCTGAGTTTGGTGTGATTCAATTTAGACTAAAGACAAAGGGAGGAAAGCGTGTTTGCGGTTTATAAAATAACACAGTGACCAGAGAAAGGAGACTAATCTACCTCTTGCACAACACCAGAATGTGGTAATCCAAGTAAACTGATCAGGAATTGATTCGGCACAGAAAAAAATAATTTATTCACAGAGTGTGTAATTAGCTTATAGCACTTCCTGCCACAAGATGTGGCAACAGCCCCTAGTTTAGGTGACTTTAAAGGGGAATATGACTATAAGGACAAGCCTACCAATACTTACTAGCCATAATGGCTAAACAGAGCCTCAAGGTTCAGAGGCAGTGTAGCTCTGAATGTCAGTGGCCAGGGAAGGGGAACATAATACTAGATTACATGGACCCATAATAATCTGACTGAGTCCTATGTTCTTACAATATTGCAAACATTCACCAACGGCCTCAGACGAGAAAATTTAAACGTTCGTGGATAAGCAGTGGCAAGCATGTGATCCCCTTCACGTTCATGGACAAGCAGTGGCAAGCATGTGATCCCCTTCACATGCTTATCACTGCTGTAGCTCCTCTGTTCAAATACACAAGAGGCCTATTAAGGGAAAACAGTGAAGTAAATTCACTCTCTCTTCTAAGAAAGGAAGCAAAAAAAAAAAAGACTTTCTGATCAAATGTGAAGATAAAGTCACTGAGTAGGATTCATCGACCATTTCCTCCAACACAAACACTATTAAAGAAGTTGATGCCAAGAAAGACTATAAATACTCTGTAGACGCAGACACAGGATATGGTTGGAGGTACATGATCCAACAACCTAGTAGAAACTAAGAAGGTCTGGGCCTCCTAGAACTGTCCCCAACACTGCCTTGGGATGAAAGAAATGTAGTACTAAATGAAGTGTAACATTATGCAAAAGGTAGAAACACAAAGAAGAGTGTATGCTCTAACATAACATGCTGCCTTTCCACAGAACCAAAAAGGCCAATCTGACAGAAAAATCATCTCTCTCATTCCTTCACTACCTTAAACTAATTTCAAAGCCAAGATGCCCTGAGATTTTATCTTGTATCTTGATCACAGCCTCACTGGCCTGTGTATCAGACACATAATTTTAATTTTTTATGCCATCCCACTTTCCCCCATCATTCCCCTCTACACAGAAAGGCCCAAGATGGCCTTCATCAATATACATCAAAACCCCCTAAAATATCATAGTTCACTGTGCACTCTCATCACTGAAACTTACTCTGTAGGCAACAATCAGTAGACATACTACTGACCTCCGAGCAAAGAATGTTCTGTAGTGAGTATGGTGCAGCTATTCTTACTGCCCTATAAAGATGGAAGAAAGATGTTGAGGGAGGAGCATATCTGGCACAAAAGTTCATAAGGCACTCCTTTACGCACCCAACATTGTTAAATCAGCCAACAGGATGTAGAATCTTCCCAATCACTCAGTCTTTGCATTCAGAAAAGTCTGGAGAGTCTAGCTTAAGAACATAAGAGAAACCAATGTTGGATCAGGCCAATAGCCCATCCAGGCCAACACTCTGTCACACAGTGGCCAAAAATACTAAGCACCATCAGGAGGTCCACCAGCGGTGCCAGCATAGGCGTAATCTTCGTGGGGGCGGCGGGGCGTTAGCCCCCGACGAAATTTTCAGGAAGGTGCTCAGCCTCCCCCGGGGGCCACCCTTGCTCCTAGCACAGCAATGCCTCTGGCCCAGCCCCAGCCCCCTCCGGGAAATTGGAAAGTCTACACCCTTGGCATGCCAGGACACTAGAAGCTTACATCCCCTCTCACCTTCGGTCAGTCACTCTCTCAGCAGCCTAAGAGGGTCAAATATCCACTCACTGAGTGATCTTGGATCCATCCGGTTACACGCTCAACCTCACAACAGGGTTCCTAAGGGAAACCCTGAATGCTGCCCTGAAATCCCTAGGTGGGATAAAAATATATTAAAGAAATATAATGATAACACTTGTCACTTCTACTGAAACAACCAAACGTGTATCTGATGTCTATGCCACTATGTATCCCTTTCAGACAGGAGGACCACTATGGGCCAACCATTAAATGAAGCAGCCAAAGAGAAGGAAGTGGAGGGAAAGAAAAAAGAAAATAACTTATGCTTCCTGTTCACAGGCCAAACCCAGTCTCTAGAGATTACCAAAATGAGCAAGAAAAGAGAATAAATAACAAATCCGACACAGAGACACAGACTAGAGAATGGGCCTCTTTCCAGGAATTCCAGCGTCACCACCAGAAATGGGATCTCGTCTCTCAGTAACTCTAAACTGAGTCTTTGGAAAGGGACCACCAACACCTGTTCATAAGGACACTACAATTAGAAGCTGTTCTGAAGGGGGCTATTACCCCATGCCACTCTTACAGACACATCTGGGCACATCCGAGGAGAGGCACAAAAGCTGCAGCGGAACTAGAAGGTGTTGAATGACCAGCCGTGAATGGTGAGATTCCAGCAGCGGTTCTGGAGTCTCTGGGAATTCCATCAGCCACAGTGGGGTTCCCTCAGCACTTTGAAAGGATGCATCCCTTCGGCTCAATGAAGAGCAGCATCAACTTGAAAGCCAACATGCCCTGCCAAGTCACAAAGCAAAAGCTAAAGAGGGGTGGGAAATACAGTCTCTCAGCCTCAGGTCATCCAGGGAGATGGAATGGGCAATCAGAAACAGGGCTTTCTCGGCGGCGGTGACTTGCCTTTGGAATGCCCTCCCCATGGAGGCTCACCCGGCCCCTGCTTTACCGTCCTTCAGGAGCTAAGCCAATTCTTTTTCTCTTTACCCAGTTCTTTTTTAACTGAATGTGTATATCCTTTTAAAATTGTGTTTACAGCCTGATTCTTGCTTCAGAACCACACTACGGCTTTGTGTCAAGCGTGGCTTTTAATGATTTTACGGTGTGTGTGTGTGTGTGTGTTAACCTTATGAACTGCCCCCAGCACGACTCTAAAACAGGAGCCCCTCGATTCTCCAAGGAACTGAGCCCCCCGCGCCCCAACCCAGAAAAGGAGAGCTTCACGTGATAAAGAAGGGGAAGCGGCCGGACCCGGATGTCGAAGCAGCCCTCGGCACACTCAGGCGCCACGGAGGAGCCAGCCCGTAAGGCTCTCGCTGGCGAGGTAGGAAGCAGCAACTGCTAGACCGAGGAGGGGCTCAAGGCCTCGCGGAAGAGGGGAGTGTGAGACAACCCTCGGGAGGGGGGGGGGGTTGAACCTCAGGTCACGAGGCAACCTGTGGCCGGGGGTGGGGGGCTGTCGCAATTCTGTCGGGCATAAAGCGTGAGGGGGAGAAGAAACAGAGCCGTGTCTTCCCCCTATGAGCCTAGAAAGCCGTGCACGGGGCCTCCACATAACGGGGAGGACGACCCCTCTGCACACGCTCAGAGGCACCACGGACGAGGCCTTCCTCCTTCCTTCTGTGCCTTACCATCGGCGGGCTCAGCTTGAGCGGCGTCGGGGCTGCAGCATCGTCCTGGCCGCGGCGGCGTCTTCCCTCGGCCTGTCAGGAGGGCGCGCGAGGCCTCAGCTACCCCGCCCGCAGTGGGGGGAAGAGAACGCGCGCGCGCAGAGCAGAGGGTGGGAACGGAAGCGCAGGTAGGACAAACTTCCTCGGGGCCGGCGTAAACCCCGCGTGAGCCGGAGGTTCGAAGGCCACTCGCTCTCTGGCGCCTCGCTTCTCCAAACCAGTTTAATTTTAATAATAATAAGAAGCAGGTCGCCGAGGCTGTCATCGGAGCTCCCTGTTCAACCTTCTAAGAGGCGATGGTGACCCTACACATCTGAGCACGTGCACAGTCAGTGCAAGGGTTGCCAAATCCAGGTTGGGAAACTCCTGGAGATTCGGAGATGAAGCCCCGGTAGGGTCAGGGACCTCAGGGCGGTACAATGCCATACAGTCCATCCTCCAAAGCATCCATTTTCTCCATGGGAACGAATCTCTGTAGTCTGGAGATGAGCTGTAATTCCAGGGGATCCCCAGGTCCCACCTGAAGATCGGCATTTCTAACAGCGCCTGTTATTCTGGACTCTTCACTACACATAGTTAAGAGGGGCCCACTCACTGCCTCTGAATTACGCTTTAGTCCCACAAAAGCTTAGGCTACTATAAGTCTTTTAACTGCCCCACGATTCTTATTATTGCTGCAACAGTCACTGAGAACTGCACCATGTCTTTATGCCCGGGTCCATTCCTTGGCAATTAGTGGACCATTCCAAATCTAAGCCCAACTGTGGTAGCAGCTGCTAGGCTGGAAAAGATGAGCATCTCCAAGGCTGGGCTGTCCCCAGCCTATGCAGTGCTCGTTGCTATGCCCCATTTTGATTCCTACATTCATGTTTCTGTATCCATTTTCCTGTCCCTTCCACAGAATTGGCTACTTGGACTGGATCCAAGACTGCCCCCCTCATGCCCCACAGTGGCACCATAACTGAGCTAGAGCCTCCTCCCCATTCCCTTTCAGCCAGCCAGGGTGACAAACCAGGTACCCGACCCGGAACACATCTGTGGGCCAACAGTCACATAGCCACACGGATTTCCCAGTAGCATTCCTCCTATATGAATGGATCCTGCAAATCATTTTGTAGTTCTCCTTTATAGCAACATCCAGACTGTACCTGCCTTTAGATTTTAAAAAAATGTATTTACCAGCTGAGTTTGCAATAGAAGTATTAAAGTAAAGGTTCCCTCGCTCGAAAGCACAGTCGAGTCTGACTCTAGGGTTGCGGTGCTCATCTCCGTTTCAAAGCCGAAGAGCCAGCGCTGTCCGAAGAAGTTTCTGTGGTCATGTGGCCGGCGTGACTAAACACCAAGGCGCACGGAACGCTGTTACCTTCCCACCGAAGCGGTACCTATTTATCTACTTGCAATTTCTTGCTTTCGAACTGCTAGGTTGGCAGGAGCTGGAACTAGCTTACTCCGTGCAGCAACTCGGGTCTCGAACTGCTGAACTACTGACCTTCCACAGCCTGCAGTTCAGCGTCTTAACCACTTGAGCCACCGCAGCTCCTCGTTTTATTACTCTATTAATACTAATACTAATAGAAGTATTAACTCCTCGTAAAAGCCTACCTGTGAAAAAGTATCTGTTGTGCAACATACACATGAAAGGGGGGGTGTCATTTTGCTTTTTTAATGTTACCCTTGTGGGGTAACACTTGTGGCCATTTACAACAAGGCAGAGGCTTAAGGGTAGCAGCTGCTACTACTACTACTAGTAAATCTTATACACAGTTCTGTACAATTAGCTGCTTCACAAAGATTAGATTCCACCACCCATTTCTTTCCATGTAGCCCCTCCACACTAGCCGGCAATCTTATGTGAGCCAGGGCTCAACTTAAGGCCTGGAAGCCTGCCTGCTGATCCTGTTGTGTTGTGGTCCGGGGTCTTCACACTGTCACTTTAGTGAGCATCCTGCATGTGCTCAGAATAGCAGTTTTGTAGGCCACCACTCTACCCCTTGGGATCTCCCTATTGAAACCTCCTACATACTTTGCAGGGAGACATTAGAGCAGAAAACAAGCACAAGTTTCAGAACGAGGGGGAAAAAACAAATTATTGTTTTTTGAATTTGTGAGGGCTGCAGTGGAACTAGAACCCACCATATAAGTGCTGTGGGCCAGTACAAAACTTAGGGGTTGCCATTTTTAAAACAGGAACTTTAATTGCAACAGGAACCTTATATAAAGTATTAATTGTATATAATATAGCAATATATTCCAGGCTTTAGATAAAGAAAATACATCAACACAGTCTACTACAGTGATCAAACATTGTGTTTACTTTCTTTCACTGATGATCTTCAGAAAACATACTTAACAAATAAGGGTCAATATTAAACAAGGAAGCCGTTAAGACCAATTTGTTTTCACCCCTCCTAGTTGTCTTGTTATTCCCTGTACTGGTCTTCTCAAAGAAGCTCACAGCTGATAGGTTCTGACTTTTCCAAAGCCTCCAACATTTGTTGTATACAAAAAATGGGGAGAGGGAGAAAACACCCCTTCCCCAGATTGCTAAAGAGAAAAGAAGGAAGACTAAAAAGATGCCTTGACGTGTTGCCAGTGGAGATGCTCATGGCAGAATTCTTCCAGGGCAAGAACTTGGGTTGCTCTATAAATTCTGTCCAAACATAGCATATGTTTCCTGCACCAGTCCAGGGGGTGGGAATCCACAGAACAGTATAACTTGACTGCCAAAAAACAAAGGGTTGGATGGTGGGGAAGAAAACCAGTCACGCACATCCACATGTCAGGACAACAAGAAATCAGGACAGGAGACAGCTGCTCTTCCTGTAAGAGTGAAGAAGATCTCCCAGAAACTGTTCCTGTTACATATTTGAACTGCAGGGATGAAATCTACTTATTAAAACATTCACTGTAGCCAACAGCGCAAAAAAAAAGAAGCAAAATATATAAAAGAATTAACATTTCCATTGCTTCAGTTTTTTCAAACATTATACAGACTGTAAATAATTTTTAAAGTTACTTTCAACAACAAACAAAAAGCACCTTAGAGGCCTCTATGTACCCTTTTCCAATGGTTTCCAGCTGCTCAAACTTCATTTCAGATAAAGTTCTGAAAATGTAGGAAGCGAGTTCTGGTGGGGTTATAATCCAGAATTGCTTGCATGGGATGGCAGAGAAGACCACCAGTCATTTTACACTTGGGCCAACTCTGGAGGAGGAGCTGGAGTCAGCCCACAGAGATGACTCATGGTTGGCCATCCAGAGAAGGACCAGGAAGGCAAAGGCGGTTAGCAAGAAGAGTACCATGTCCGCGCGGGGGGGGGGGGGGGACACACGACACTGAAAACTTTTTCTTCCTCTTAACCTGTGAAAATATAAAGAACACAGAAGTCTTCTATACCACCCCCCAAAAGACAGCTCTTAATGGTTTCCAAGGAAACATACCACTCCCTCTCCCCGCCAATGTCTCCTCCACCGCACTGTAGATGAACAGGATCAGACACTCCACACAGCACGGCTCCTAGGCCCAGACTTTCCACTTTCTGGCTACCGGCAGAGTCACCAGGCTCCAGAGACTGCCAAGGGCTTGTCATAATTCTGTGTCAGAGCCAGAGCTGCTCTCCCGGCTGATTTCGATTTGGAGCGAGGGCAGGTTATCTAGGCGGCTTTTTTTCTGGCGGGACTGTTCCTTCTCTTTGATCAGGGCCCCCCAAGCCCGCTGGAGTTCAGAGTCCTCCTCCTCAGGAGACACGGATGACTTTTCCGCTTTATCAGGAGCCTTCTCCTGCGTCTTGGATGCTGATCCTAAGCGAGTCCATAAGTTTGCTGATAGGGTAACAAAAGGAGAGAAGTTTGAATGGAAATTATGGGCAAGGAATGCTCTGGAATCGTAGACAAGGAATGCTCTGGAAAAAGCATTGAGCCACAGGTGGCACATGTTTCCTAAATTGGAATTTTACTAGCCCTTGACATCTTCTGAACTCTCAGGGTTGAAGAAAAAGTTCAAGGATGACTCTGCTTCAAAAAAAAACCCTCCTGCTTTACAGCAATTTTGTCTTGCGTCTATGCATTTAGATGACAAACATGCCCCCTTTGAGGCACTTTGCAGCGTTGCCTCATTTACTCCTCCCAGGAAAACGATAGTATTTGGTTTTCTTTCCTTAACCAGGCATGCACTAGGCTGTCTCTTAACATTTACACATGAGAAACAGGTAGACCTCAACACCCACAGTGGGTATCTTGGAAGAGCCACATTTTTATTCAACACAGTCTCTGGAATTTATGCTCCTCTTTCAGCCGCAGAGTGATTTCCAGCGTATATCTGACAATGAACATCCATACAAATTAATAAACTGAAACCTAGAGATGTGAAGGCCCGGAAAAAAACCGGAAAAATTCGGGGGGGAAACGGGTTTTTTCCGTTTTTTTCCTGAAGCCTTTTTGTTTTTTTCCAAAAAATTGGAAAAATTGAAAAAAGAAAAAAAATTGATTATGGAATGTTTTATTTTAACATGATGAATAAAATATTTTAAGACAAGGTGTTCAAATATTTTCCAAATCATTTCTAAAAAATATGTATGGTGTCAGATTGATCTAATTTCTGTGCACGGCGGACAAGCAAGTCCTAGGTTACAAACTCAACTCTCCAATGCAAGAACAAGATGCATTTCTTCCTTTAGGAGGTGCTATTGTCACAAGAAAAGAAAAAGGTTTCAGTTTTGTTTTTGCATGCGGGTGGGTATTCTATTTGTAATAATTGTTTGGATACACTATATTTTTAATAGGCTAGTTGTGATAATTTCATGCCAAGTAAAAATGTCCATAGTCATATTTTATGTTCCTAAAGTAACAGAATGACTTTCAATCTAGAAAAAACAAAAGAAATGCCAATGTAGCATTTTTTTCAATTTTTCCGAAAATTTCTGTTTTTTCCGAGCTTCAAAATTTTTGGAAATTTTACATCTCTACTGAAACCCAGTCTGGACAAAACTAAGGTGTTGGATCACTCGATAATGCTACTAATCAAATAGCATGGATGCTGCCCATCCTAGCTGAGATCACCCTCCCCCCTATGAAAGATCA